ATTCTCATATGACTTCTATATGAACTCCCGTTATAATGACATTCTCGTCATACTGACATTTTTTGTTTGTACGGAGAGTGTTGTTATAACGGGAGTGACTTGCATTATGATATTTCCAATATTTAATTCGTTGTTATTCATAATTAATTTCGTCACCCGTAATTGAATTCGTCACCCGTAATTAGTTTCATCACCCGTAATTAATTACGTAATTACGTTTTTAAAGAGTGAAAGTGGTAATTAATTACGTTGATTATGAATTACGTATTTACGGTAATTAGCTAATTACCATATCATGTATATAACCGACTCAACCATTTAACTTCCTAATTTACATCATCTATAATTAATTTTGTCTATAATTTCGTCACTCATAATTAATTTCATCACGCGTAATTAATTTCATCACCCGTAATTAATTTCGTAATTACGTATTACGTATTACGTTTTTGGCAAAACAATTACCATCCCATGTATAGTCGGTTCGGTCCGATATAAAACCACGTCGAACCGGTTTTAAATCTGATTGGTTAATTTTAATAACCGTGGTTGAATATATTACAGATTTAAAAATGCCGAAATTTAATAAAACCTATTACCGTATTCTCTGGAATATAAGCACCACTCAAATATAAGCACCAGTATGAATTTGCAATGAAAAAAACAAAAAAATAGAAAAATAAATATAAGCACCACATATATTTCAAATTATTTTTTATTTGATTTTATTTTTATATAATAAATAAAAAATAAGAAATTTTTTTATTTTGACTATTCTTTCCCAGAGTCACCAGACTCCTCTTCTTCTAATTCATCTAATTCATTAGCTGAATCATCATTTCTATTTAATATTTCACGTTCATCTTCCTCATTTTCATTTTCATCCCCATATAAATGTAACACAAATTGTCTGAAATAAAATGTCTTGAATATAAGCACCACCCACAGTTTTGTTGACCAAAACGTGTCAAAATGGTGGTGCATATATTCCAGAGAATACGGTATATATCTGATAACAGTCCGTAGTTTAATCTCAGTTCAACCGTGATTGGCTTAGTTTAACCTCAATGGTGTTGAGTCAACTATATATCTAACACGTTTGACCTAAATATGATTGGTTAATTTTAACAATTACGATTGATATTAAGTAAATAGTCGTGTGACATGTCCTAAAAATCAAGGGGCAAGTTTATTTTCCGAAAAATTTCCGGTGATCTACACAATTTTTT